TTCCTGCCTTAACCTTGTGCTAGCATTAGCTGCTGTGCGACCAATAACCTTCTTGTTTGGTTTCGGGGTTTGATTTTAATTAATGACTAGGACTTGCAAATTAAATTGATTAAGCAACCCTGGACTTAGGCTCTGAAGCTGGAGGCAAATTGAAGTTAGTTAAGTCTTTCTAAACTATCACAGTTCTCAACAGTCCTCAGCTCAGCAAAAAAAAAAGCAGATAGCAGCAAGTGCAACTGAGTCTTGGGCCCTTCTTCTTTTCCCTCCTCAGCTCCACAACTTGAGTCTGCAATTGCTCTACAGATGTCAAACACATTGCAGCAAAGACTTTTGATAGTCCAGGAATAATAGAATGTCAAAATATTATCTTGAAGTTCAAGAGCCTCAAAATGGCCTCATAATGAGAAAGACAAAGATAATTGTGCAAAACTCACAATTTGGCTTCATCTCTTTGAAATAACTGGTGAAGTACTTCAAAAAGAAGATTAGAAACAGGTTTCTTTCCTCACCTCCCTCCTTGAGATTAAGAAGCTAACAGAAAAGTTGTTTCCTTTATACTGTTCTCAGTTTCACGGTTCTCAGCAGCAAAATCTGTTTCTTCAAGGAACATCTTGCAACATTTCCCCCCCCCCCAAAAAAAAAAAAAAAAGTGAGGGGGCAGAACGAGGAGCTGAAATTGAGTACATACTGAATCACATCTAAATGTTTTTTTCCTTCAGAGAACTAGCAATTGTTATAAATGTACCACTGCTATTGAGCAGCTCTTCAGAAAGGAGTAAACTGAAAAAAGGCAGAACTTGGGACAAGGCCCCAAAGAATGAAAAATCTAACACTGTGTCAAAATACACATATGAAGAATAATGCCTGCACCTCCAAATTCTGTGTTCAGCCTTCCTTCCTGTTGTTGACCTAAAAGGAAGTGGGGAACACATACAAACTGTACCTTTTTATCTTTAATTAGCATATTCATAAATTATCAGCCTTACATCACTTGCCCTACAATACAATCTTTAAGAGAAGTTCTTCTGACTTTGTTTGACCTCTCAGCAATAGGTCCAAAAAATTCCTATAACCTAATAATGGTGCTAGACACCCTAGCTCCCTCAAACACAGTAAATTATACACTCAGAATATCACTCTCTCAGATCACTACCCCTACAAGGGTGGAGCAACAAATTCTTTACCGTCTTAGTGAGACGTCACAAAAGACAAAAAAGGTTGCTCAACCTACTGGTCTGTCACAACAGATACAGGGGCTGTGATCTGCCAGATACCTCGACCCATTCTCCACGACTGCTGGCAAGCTCAGTGTTTTTTCCCCTCTGTCTGAACAGCAACATAATCAAACAGAACTATCTTCTTGACCTGCTATCATCACCAGCACAATCAACCACTCCTGAAAGCTGATGCTTTCTTCAAGAGGTAAGAGATGCTGATGCAATGATATCATCAGAAGAGAATGAAACCTTACAACTTTGTGGTCAATGATCAAGAATTGAAAGAAGAAAGAGTTTAAACAGGCTTAGCAAGTCTCCTACAATCTTGGCATCTACAAGAAACCAGAAGAGTACTTAAAACCACAGATGCACAAAGATCAAGAACAGAACATTCTAAAAAGGAGGTAACTGGACAGTAGCAGAAAACACAGCTTTCCTAGTAAATTCCAGCAGATTTGATCCTCTCTGAAAAGAGTGCCTACAAAGCATTTACAAGCAGCTTTCCTGAGGAATCAAAATCTGTTTCAGCACTTGCTCCCATGGTCTCTGTACTTCAAACTAGCACAGACAAATCCTACCAGCTGGGGATAGGCGACCGCACAAAAACCAGAGATAACTGCACTCAGAAGATTTTTCACCCAAAAAGGAGAAAGGTCAAAGGACTGACACTGTATAAATGGCCAGAGTGCTTTTAAAATTGAGGGTGCTGAAATATGGCCTTGTACAGTGTTTACAAAATTCTCACTTACCATAGAAGTTTTAATATGTCTACCACAGAAACTATATTTGGCCTTGAAGGCTGGAGGAGAAAGCAAGCAGGCAAGATGTAGCTTGGTGGAGGCAAAATAACAGATATTTATCATATGAAGGAAAGAAAGTTCATGACATCTCCACAGCAATCTATTACTTACAATGATACAGCAGTGACCTCTTTGAGGAGTCCTGCTGTTCACATACCAACACTAAGCCATCTTTTCAGTATCACATCTCAGTTCTATGTTAAAGAAGAAAATTTTTCAAATTAATAGCAAAAGGTTGTAGTCATCACACTGATTTCCGATATAGACATATTAAAGTTTAACTGCCACATGCATGTTTGCCAGCTCTCTGTTTTAAGATATGACTCAGTGATGTATCTGAGTTAAAAGCACTCTCGCCACTACACACACACAAAAATAATAATAAAAAAAAACCCCTCTGTGCATTCATATGTGGACCAGTCATAAGTTTTAAACAAAAAAAGATGTTGTGAATCTGTATTAGATATGCTGAAACAATTCTAGTATCATTGCAGGTTTACCTCACCGCCACATTTTTCTAAATTGCTTTGGCTGCAGTGCAGCTTGGATAACTATACCACAGTGCCTAGAATAGTCTCAGAAGAGGCTTCTGGGAGATTTTTGGTAGAGTAACAGTTCTGCAATTACAGCAGGCTACAAACACTGCTAAGGTATAAATATAAACTTTGAGATGTCAGTAGTCGGGCTCCAGTCCTTTGCTCAGTTTCGCTTGAGTTGCTGCTACCCTGGCTGCCTCAAAATAACATCATGGTCACCTCCTAAAGTGGCAGGAAGCAAAAGCTTTCCGAGCTGTTTAAAATCCTGAACAAAAATGTTTCAGGAAACCATTCGACAATGCTGTTGAAGAGGTAGAGAACCTGAGAATTACACCCCAAGCTAGAGCGTAACACCAAAAATGGAGGTGTTGGTGAAATATTAAAGGACAAAACAAAACATATTGACAGGTAAGCAGTTTGCTCCAGCTTAAAGATACAAGAATAGGAATCACAGGCATGCAAGGTAAAAGGCTTGAGGGATATTCTCATTCATTAAAATTACGAGTTCACAGAGGGAGGAGCAGTTTCATCTCACCCCACATCCATCCAAGCAAACATTCAGTTTAGGTTGAACAGGTTCTCAGACTTGTGCAAAGACTTATCTACTCTACTTAAAACACCGACAAACCAGTTCAAGTACTTCTATATGAATGTGAAGCAAGCAATCTGGGAGGTTAAACCAGTTCTTAAGAACAAACAGCTGCTCTGGCATAATGGAAAAGCCTGGCCATACCAGGTATGCATAAACTACAATTAAGACAGCTATATTATCCCATCTAAATGAACGGTTTCCCAAGAATCACTATGGGACTTGAGAGAAAGCCAGGCAAAAAAAGCATCTTGTTTATACAGCCACTTTCATGAAGGACTAAAAAACTTCATTGCCTCTTTTTCATGTTTCTTGTATCCTGGAATAAACTGGAATCACTTTTTTTTTTTTTTTTTTACTGAGTCTGTTTCAAAGGCGCATTCACAAAAAAACACTGAAATTGTAAAAATAATCCATAATTCTGCACATTCACCTAAGAAATGTTTTGACTATTCTAATGTTGTTTAAGAAGGATTTACTAATATTTCTGCTAACCAACAAAAGACGCAGTTAGTTTCTCAATTAGTTCAATATCTGACAGGGTGTGAAGGTTAGAAATCTAAGGGGATATGCATGGACCATTGCTACAGACAGGATAAGACTCCAATGGATAGACAGAGTTTCAAGACCCAAAATTATAAATACTAACTACTGCTCAAACATGACCATATGACTGAGTAATAATTCCTACAGATGTTCAATGCCACAAGACTTCTTCTGTTGCTGAGATTTCTCTCTCTAACTTTTCCATTTTTATGTCTGCTTTTCCAGGATGGCTTTTTGTGCCAAGGTAATTTTTTTCCAATAGTTTAGCTTTTCTAAGAAAATGCAAATTATTTTCAAGAGTAACTGTAAAATCTGCCGCTCAACAAATCAATTGCCTCAACTACCAACCACAAATGTGGCAAGGAAAAGCAAACAAACAAAAAATCACTAATTTTTTCCAGTATTTTTTTGTTTAATGCAAGAAAATCAGTGGAGATTTTTACTAACACTGAATACATTTCATATAGATACACTTGTCCTCTTCCTCTCCACAAACAAGAACTGGTGACTCTTACATTTTCTATCAAGACTAATCCAACTTCCATTGCATTTGAATATGTGCCGAAGTTGATAAAATAATCCTTTCAAACACAAATAAACCACTGGTTTGTACTATATTTGGCTGCACGAAGAATTCTTTTGGGGAACAGGAAAGTAGCCACTGCCTTCTGACTCTGCATTTTGTGACTTCCTTCACTAGCTAGCAAACACCTCAACCTCACAAAGTTTTGAAAACAACTTTATTGAAATACTAACATCTTAAAATCAAATTTGAATGGCATACTTAAGTAACAGAATATTGGCATATTTTTAGTTTTGAAATCTTTTCAGACTTGACACAGAATTCTGCACAGATGCTACACTTCAATAAAATATTCTCAAGTCGTTAACAATTTTGCCTACCTT